CCCCGGGGGGGGGGGTAACCCTGCTCTAATTTGACTGGGTGTGGGTAAGGCTATGGGTATGGCCAGCCCCTGTAGTATTTGTTACATTATTTTTTTCCTGTGGTTTTCATCTGCTTCCTTACATCATTTAGCTTTTTGAAAAAAACATTTATGTAGTATTTTCAATTTTTAAAATAATTAGCATGTTTTATATTGAAACAAAGTTACCTAACAAAAATGCAGTTCGATTAAATACAAGACAATTGCCGATTTTTCCAGTTGAAGCCGTTTTAAATAGGAAATTTTTTGTTTCGCCTTAAAGCATTGTGATTGAAGGGTTTGGACTTTCTCAAATACTTACAAGTGAAACTGGCCAGTTGTCAGCCTGGAGCAACCTTCAGAGAGACTGAAGCATATTTACACTTGAGACAGGACTTTCGTCACCAAGCCTTTATTATTTTTTCATCTAAGGGCTCTATTCATTTGGATAGGCTTTTGAAACTTTATTAAGTTCTTCTTAAGAAGTTAATGTTCTAGAACCCACCTGTAATAGTTGTAGGGGTAAGTCGCCTCATCTGAAGGTCAGTGTTGACCTGCATCTTGCAGGAATGGGATTGTGTGGAGCATGTTGCGTGTGTGCATGCAAGCACTGCGTCTCCAGTGTTGGAGTGAGAACTCAGAGTAAGCAGTCACTTAAAATTGTCCTGGAGTTAGAGTTTGAAACACAGCGCACACACCAGTAAACTCTTTGAGTTGCTCTGAAATAATTGGCCTGGCATAAATACATATTCCTGTTGCTACAACTTAGAGACGAGGCAGATTAGGGGTGATTGTTTTTATTCCGAAGTCAGGTCCTTTTAGTGCCAGCAAGAGAAGTGTTTTGTAAGGAGTGTGCACACACTAAAATGCACAGCCCTGAGTGTGGGATCCACAAGTTGTGCATCTGGGTGGCCACTACTCTACTCGAGATCTCAGACCTTTCCAGAAAGTTCCCTCCTGGCCCCGCCTCCCCCAGTAAGTAGATTGCATCCCTATAGACAACACTGGTAAAAGAATGCATTGGACAAATTTTTTGTTTGTAAGTGTTTAGTGATGTTAATTGTTACAACTCTTCTTTAATTTGTAGGAGATAAAAACATTCAGATGGCCGACAACAGGTAAGCCAAACGGACTTTGTTTATTAGAGTTTGAATTTTAGTTGGTGAGCAACAGGCAGCCATATTTTGTAAACATCATAGGAAGCTCTAGCTGATGGCTCTTTTTTCCCACCTGTACATTGCTTCCGACATGAAGTGTGTCTCAAATATTAGTGCTTTAAAACCTTTGGTGGGAAGCAATCTTCTGCTCTTGTGGCTTGAACACCCCCAGGTGAAGTCCTGTGATGGGCTTGACACTGTCCTAATATTCTGTAGCCTCCTGTGTTTGGGGGATGATTCATTTTGTGTTCTGAAGGCCACATTTGGTTGTGTAAAGTGTTTCATGTGGTTTATTTTTGGTGAGAGGTGTGCCCAGGCACCTGTGAAAACTTGGACAATGCTTGTGAAGTCAGTTGTTTATAGAGTTTGTGTGGCTCACTTACAGAGCCACTGTGGGCACTGTGTCCTCACTCCTCGGGAAGGTGGCTTTTCTTTGGTCAGCAGCCATCAAACCGTGGATCCTCGTTGGTTGGTTAGTGGGTTTGATTTGAGAGCAGGGAGATTTTTTTTAAAGTTTTTTTTTTTTTAGGAAAGAAGTTGTAGAAATGAAAATTTAGAAGATCTGGCCAGAGTTTGAAATTAGAACTGCTGGGGGGCATGTGGGGGGGATGATAGGGTGTTAAGGAGTAGGGTGTTTTAATAACAGTCTCCTGTGTGTAACAGTGTGTCTGTACTTCTATTCCGCCACATCTGAAGTCCCTGTTGAGACACCACGTAATGTGCTAAATAAGAGTGTCCTGTGCCTTTTGTCGTTGAAACTTTCTTTACAGTAATTTTTTTTAACATATTGTTCTAGCTTTTCAGATGGGGTTCCTTCAGATCCCTTGGAAGCTGCTAAAGATGCAAGTGCTACAGGTCAGTTCACTGCGCGTGGAGGAGGTGACAGTTGGAGAGCTTGCGTGCAGTGCAGGGTTTCCTACTCTTGAACCATTTATTATAGTAACTAACTCAAAGACTTTAGGAAAAATTAGTGTAATTAAAATGAAAATCAGTAGTTCTTTAAGAAGTGTTTCATTATAGGAAATTCAGACTCTGCAGAAGTTAAGTACCTACGGTCACTCAGCCAGCGTTAACAAGTGGCCAGGCTTTTTTCATCTGTGTCCTCTCCTCCTCATTGTTCTGAAGCAGAGCCCAGATATCATAGTTTGTCCATAAATTCATAGATGTGTTTTCTCTCCTCCATTTTCAAAAAGTTCCCCTGAACTTTTTTAAAGCACATAGTGGACATATTGGCTAAGAGAGCCTCTAAAACAATTCGGTGTAAATTTCTACAAACAGATTAATCTTCATAAAAGTTTAACATCAATACCATACTGTGTGCAGTCTTGTTTGTATCTTCCCCTTTCTCAGCAGTTCTTTTTACAGCCGTACCCCACCCCCAGATCCAGAATCGTGTATTTTATGTAGTTTTGTCTCCTTTGTTGGCGGGCCACCCCCCACCTTCCCTGTGACTGCAGTGACATGGTGCCCAGCTGTCTTGTGGAATGCCCATGCTCTGCATTGGTCTGGTGCTTTCCTCCTCAGATTCGGGTAAACATTTTGGCAAGAATGCTGTGTAGGTGATCTGGTGCTGTGGGAAGTGCAGTTAGGCCCGTGGCGAGTACTGGGATTGATGACTTGGTTAAGACAGTGTCTGCAGACTTCTCCATCTGAGGGTCCTTTTGTTAAATAATCTGTTGGGCACCCTGTGGAAACCCTGCTTCCATGAGACGCATCAGCATCCACTGATGATCCTCGCCGAGTCGTTAATGACCCTGGTGGTTGCAAAAGCATGTTTTTCTGATTCAGACAATCCTGCCATAGATCACAGGTGTTAAAGAAGACCCCGCCCCCTTTTAGTGTTACTATAGCAACATGGTTAATTGTTTATCAGTGTTTTATTACTTGCCATCATTATTCTTTTTGGTGCACAAATTGTCCCATTTCACCCGTGGAGTCCCTTCAGGCTGGCTTCTGTGTCCTTTTGCCATGTGCCTATCCCTTTCCCGTGCTTTGAGTAGATATGTGGCACAAGTGATATTCCATTTTCCCTTGACCTTCCTTGCCCCAGACCTGGGCTCTCAGTTTATTAGTGGAGAGTGAGAGTTAAAAACCACAATGTAGCAGCTAGGTGTCAGTGTCTAGGCCTCACAGTGGGCAGAGCTGGAAGAGATGCGTGTGTGCATGGAGTGTGCAGTTTTATACACGCTGCATACACTGCATGCAGTGCTGCATGGCAGTGGTTGTTTGTAGTTAGTGTGTGCTGCTTGCTTACCGAAGCTGGGAGACTCCCAGGTACAGATTACCTTTGAGTCTGGGTTTCTGCACAGTGGCAGGATGAGGGGATCAGGTCAGCTTAGCAAACTTGAGTCTATGCTGTGCGCCCGGTGATGCCCACTCCATGGTTACAGTGCAGCGGAAGGACACTCGACTCCCTCCGTCTTGAGTGGGAGCTGTAAAGGCAATGTCATGGGGGAGGCGGCACCTTTTGCTAGGACGTTGGTTGGCGCACACCCTGGGAAGGAGGTGGGCTGGGCAGGAGGATGTTGCGGGTGAAGGTGGGTCAAAGACCGCGGGGGCCTGGCAACGGGAAGTGATGAGCGCCAGGCTTTCCTGGCTGCGCCGGGGCACACGCGGGCCCTAACTAACCCTGAGGAGCTGTCTGTCCACCCCGTCCTCTGCTCCTGGGCCCCACGTGGGACTTGGGAGTGAAGGCCAGGTGATAGAAAGTGACAATGTCCTCAGTTGGGAGATATGAGGCATAAACAGCTAAGGTGAGACCTGGAAACCTTTAGGTGCCCTCAGTAGGTTTTAACCGCCCACTCAGGTGACTGACAGACATAGAATGTCCAGTGCCTTTTAAGTAAATTTCAAATATTTTCAAAACATGTTTTAAATAAGCCACTGGCTATGTTTAGAAATTGAAGTAGATGAGCAGGTTTAAGTAGATATGTGTTGGTGATTTTGACTCTTGGCTCTCTGTCGTGGGCATATTTTAAATTGTTTGGCCTTGTTTTTAACTCGTCATAGAGAAGCTCACAGATCAGGTGATGCAGAATCCTCAAGTTCTGGCAGCCTTGCAGGAACGGCTTGACAGCGTCTCCCACACTCCTTCCAGCTACATTGAGACGTAAGTATGTGGTGGGTGAGGCCTGGGACAACTTTAAGGAACAAAGAAGAAAAACTGTTTCCTTGTCCCTTAGACTAGGAACAGTGTGTTTTTCATTCAGCGACATTACCTGCTGAGCCAGGCACTGGGTTCCAGGGAGTCTGGGGGAGGGACTCAGACCTGCAGAAAGAATGCGGCAGGCCGGGCTATCTAATAGGTGAGCCATAGTGCCATCCTGTGGCGATTTGAGACACTGAATCGGCACAGGCAGGAGTTGGCAGGGAACCCATGCTAGGTGAGGGCAGCATGCTCTCCCTGGTGGCTCCGAGCCAGTTGAGAGCCACTCCTCCCTGACTCACCTGTGTGGGCCTGCAACACAAACTGCTTTTTCAGAAGATGCCTGTGTCCTGGTTGTGTTGCCCAGTGAAAAAGCTCCTAGGACAGCTCTTTTCCAGGCCTGGTTGTCTTCCTTCTGGAAGGGAGGGGCTGCTGCTGGGCTGTGTCTGGCAGGCAGTTTGGGGCTTCGTCTCAGTACATCCCACCCTCTACATGGTTCCCCACTCAGGGCTTGATATGTTCCGAGGCTATTGGAATGGGGAGGGGACACTTGGGGTCCGAGCTCCTTTTCATAGTAAGGATGTTAATTCTGTGCTAACCTAAATTTAATTTTAATAAAACAGAAATGCACACCGCCTTGATTTTGCAAGTGTGGGGCCATTTTCTTGTTTCCTCCCTCCTCAGTCTCCCTAAGGCGGTGAGAAGGAGAGTCAATGCGCTGAAGCAGCTCCAGGTGAGGTGCGCGCACATAGAGGCCAGGTTCTACGAGGAGGTGCACGACCTGGAGAGGAAGTACGCAGCGCTATACCAGCCTCTCTTCGACAAGGTGGGAGCCTCAGGCCTGCCTTGAGGCAGGGCATCCACGTTACCCAGTAAACCGGCCAATGTTACTCTTTAAGCCCTCAGACTTTGAATCTTAGAATAAGTTATAGGAGCATCCAGTTTTCACAGTCTTTTCATAGACATTATTTACAGACTCACAGCCTTAACTCTTGACTTTCCGAATGACATAACTCTAAGAAGGTCTCGCTCTCTCTTAGAGAAGGGAGTTCGTCACCGGCGACGTTGAGCCGACAGATGCAGAGTCGGAGTGGCACAGCGATAACGAAGAGGACAAGCTGGCCGTGAGTCGTCGTTCAGCGAGTGCATCCTGTGCTCTGTGTTAATATTGTTAGAAATCGTTATTTTAACGAGTGCATCCTGTGCTCTGTTAATATTGTTAGAAATCATTATTTTAATGTGTACATCCTGTGCTCTGTTAATATTGTTAGAAATCATTATTTTAATGGGTGCATCCGGTGCTCTGTGTTAATATTGTTAGAAATAAGGAACGTCTTTTAATGGTTTTAATGATCAGTATGACTTTACAAAGAAGAGAGCTCCTAACAGTAGGTGCTGTCTCGCCCTAAGGTCGGGTGTTTAGGTTTCTTTATGGGTGAGTACTGAGCAGCCGGTGGGTCTGGCATCGGACTGGTTGCCATCAGTTAATACGATGAACCAGACAGTCTTCCTCTCAGTCATCTAGCAGCTTTGCACAGGATGCCGTGAGGTGTGGGATCCGATGGACAGAGATTGTTACAACATCAGTGACCGTCTCAGTAGAGTCCTGTGTCGGGTCACCGGCAGGTAGGGTGTGGTGGGGATGCACTGGAAGCATGCTGCCACCTGCTCAAGGACGAGCGTGAGGATGAGGTGGCTGGAGTGCCTCTCCACCTCAGATCAGTGGGTCACAGGCCCTTTAGTGATGTGCCCTGTTCATCCCTGCTCAAACAGCCTTTTCTGGTGATGGGTCCCGATCCAGTGCCACCGAGCATCCCAGCCACAGGTTCACGTTGTCAGACTGGTTTTGTCTTTGGGAGACAAGTAGCTTCTATCCTGTAAAACTCACTTTTAGGGTTTTTTTTTTTTTTAAGAATATGCATTTTGGTAGCCATGTGTTTTAATCTGAAAACATACAGAGCCCCGCCTAGGTGAAGCTGCAGCTGTGTATCAGTGCGGTTGTGAGTCGTATCCTTATTGCTCAAGAAGAATTGGCCTCTGCTAATTTATGAAGCCCACGTGCTCGTTCCCTTGTGAGGCTCCGTGGCCCTGGGCAGCACTGCCTTACCTCCCTCCCTGGGGCCTCAGTGTGTCTGCATTGCCACAAGCCTTTCTGGTCACTACCCTAGTGTTCACATGGAACCTCTATCTGCCATGACAGTTAGAGCCCTCTTCTACTTGGACACAAGGTGCTTGGCAGTTTCTGGTTCCTAAAGCCCCCGGAGCTCCATGGGGTGGTGGGTGGCTGTCCCCAAGTGGACGCCTCATGGAGCTAACACTTGTTGCACAGCCTTTCCCGTGTGTGTCACCTTGGAGACCCCTCTTGAGCTTTTCTGCCAATTTAAGTTATGTGGTGGATGATGTCTAGATGGAGTGCCTTGAGGGCTTTGTCCCAGAAATGTTTGGATCATTACCTGCCCAGTGATCTTGGAGACGCGGTTTCACATGGCATGTGCTTTGTGGTAAGTGTTCTATTCTGCATCTTTACTTTTAGGGAGACATGAAAAATAAAGTAGTCATAGCAGAAAAAGAAGCTGCGGCAGCAGAAGAGCCAACCCCCAAAGGGATCCCGGAGTTCTGGTTCACCATCTTCAGAAATGTGGACATGCTGAGCGAGCTGGTCCAGGTGAGTACGTGTCACCTGGTACAGAGGTTTTGGTCTTAAAACTTGTGAACTACTTGCTGGGTGTTCTGCGGCTGTTCATTGTGGGTGAAAAGCATTCTGTGACACCCCCCCCCAATCAGGAGTAATCCTGGTCTCACAGGGTTCATTACTGTGGGGACCCCCCACACACACCTTACTGCAGCTGTAGTGGGGAAGGCCGGCAGCTCTGATCCAGAACTTGGACTCAGTTCACCTCCTGGGAAAGGGCTATTGCCTCACCCCAGAAAGTTACCTGTGACATGGCACCCTTCTGCTGCCCCTCAGGCCCGTATTCAGGGAACAGATTGGGTGGCTTCCTGGGAGTCGGTACTTGACAAGGACAGGACTCCACCAGGGCCCAGTGTCTCACACCCACGAGTGATGCAACAGTGAGGACACGTGTTGTTCTTAACCAGCTCACTGAAGGTTTCTTTTTCTCTCTGTGTAGGAGTATGATGAGCCGATCTTGAAACACCTTCAGGATATTAAAGTGAAGTTTTCAGACCCTGGACAGCCAATGGTGAGTAGTGACTGATTGAGGTCCTGCTTGGTGTCAGGGGGTGTTAGGTTACTGAGGGTAAAGGGCTTGAGGCCAGGGCAAGAAATCAAACCCACCACTCACGTGCTGGGTGACTTTAGGAGATGCTCCTCGAGGATTAGGGCAGCCTGGCAGGGAACTCAGGCCACCTGCTGTGTGGTGGCAGGTGCAGGAGCTAGACGGGTTGGACTGCTCGGCCCCTGTCCTGTCAGCTGTGCCATGCTGCAGTTTCTCAGCTAGTTTGTTTCCTTTTCCCTAAGTGGCTCCTAGGCTTTTGAGGGTCTGGTGTCAATCAGTTTGAAAGGATGGTGAGTGTGTACTCTAATATGAGCAGCACGTTAACAGAAACCTGCTAAGTACCTGCAGATGGCCTTGGCTGGGTGGCTCGGTTGGCGCATTGTCCCGTGTACCAAAAGGTTGTGGGCTTAGTTCCCAGTCAGGGCACGTGCCTACGTTGCAGGTCTGATACCCAGTTGGGGCGAGTACAGGAGGCAACCGATCCATCCGTGTCTCTCTCCCTTTCTCTCTCTCAAATCAATAAAAACTTAACCTTGCATGAGGGTTTAAAAAACAAAAATATGCAGATAGGTAACACTGAAAAATGCTCCCCTAATCCGATTTGTCACAAAACCCACCTTTCAAAAATTCCTGCTATAGTGTGTCATTTAGTGCTGGGGGCGGATCTGCCCGCCAGTTGGACCTCAGCCAGCCTCACTTTTTCCTGGGGAAATGTTGGGGTGGTGCACGGCATCCCAGCTGAGCAGGGTGCTCCCTGGAGCACTGTTCGTGACCTGTTAACCTGGCTGTGGCTAACAAGGTTCCATTCCAGTGCTATAGCAGTTCCAGTGACACATGACTGACTGACTTACTGGTGGCTCTCAGTTTCAGGTTTTGGAGACAAGCACCTGGGGCTGTGAGTTAGGGATCTGGGCGGGGACCTAGCCTGGGTCTCTTCCTCCTGGCCACAGTGCATGGGCCCCAGGTAGGGGATGAGGGTCATTGTGAATGGAATTTCTCTCCCCAGTCCTGCAGGTGACACTTGCTGCAGGCTCAGGCAGGGGGATACACCTGTATATGTCCCTTCCCCTTTTCCTGTCTGCTGCACTCTGAGAGGTGACATTCAGCTGTCCCTCTGCAGGTGAGGTGTGGGCATGAGCCAGAATGATGCCTGCTACCAGGCTGAGAGGCCACTCTGGTGGCCGAGGGGACCCCTTCTCTCCTCCTGTAGCATCTGGTAGTTATAGTAGTGCCCTCCTCTTGTCCTCTCTTCCCAGTAAGTGTGGCTCACCTGTGCGTAGGCTTTACCTTAGCACCCCTTGGAGGCCGCCTGTGGTCATGGGACCTCATCTGCCAAGGTACTTGAATTCTCTTTCCCATGTGTGAGCAGCACACTTTTAAGGTTCTGAGTTTTTCCCACACTGCTTTCTCACCTGTCATTCATCTGGATTCAGTTTACGATGTTTCCTTTTTGCATTGGTCCCGTTTTCTTCCTTTGCTCCTATTGGATATTGTCTGGTGGTGTCTTGGGCCTGTGTTCTCTCTTACCCGCCTGTCGTATGTGGCTCACGGAAGAGTAGAGCCCGAGCTGTAGACCATGCACCAGTCTTTCTCTCATGAGAGTCCTGTATGTTTACTATAGGAAACTTAGGCCCTGGCCGGTTTGGGTTAGTGGTTAGAGCATTGGCCCTCAGACTAAAGGGTCCCTGGTTCAATTCTGGTCAACGGCACGTACCTCAGTTGCTGGCTCGATCCCAGGCTCCTGTCGTTCCCATGAGGGAGGCAACCAATCGATGTGTCTCTCTCACATGGATGTTTTTTCCACCCCCCCACCCCCATCTCTTCTCCTCTCCGAAAAGCAATGGAAAAAATATCCTCCAGTAATTAAAAAAAGAAAGAAAACTTAGAAAACCATGATGCACTTTCTATCTTCTAGAAATAACTCAGCCATTTTCCCCTAGTCTTGTCCTTTGAACAGTTATTGTGAAATATCTAAGACATTAAAGCTGTAAAGAAAAAACAAAACCACCTAATTTCAGAATAGAACAGGGCCAGTATGTTGGCCCCACCCCACGCCCACACCTTCTTTCCCCTCTGGGCCACTGCTCCAGGCTAGAGTGCGGACATTGTCCTGCTGCTCTTTTCACTCCACATGGGCTCTGCCAAGTGGGACACGGTTCTTACTGCATCTTTTGGTTTGTTTAGTGTTTCTCTGATATGTGCGCCCCCCCCCCCAATTCTGAATGGTTGCATTAGGATCAGCATCCTTGAACCCAAGTCTTTAAGTTTCTGACTCAGTGTGATGGCTGGGTCAGCAGAGGTAATTGTGAGGAGTGGAGGTTTTTTGGTTCACGTTCCTGCTGGCAGTCTTTCTCTTGCATTGTTTTTGTAATAATAACTTTTGGTTCTAATTTTGAAATAATTTCAAGCTTCAGGCAAAGCACAGAGAATCCCTTGTGTCTCTTGTCAACCTTGACCATAGCGGCTATATGGGGTGGGGATCCCTCCTCGTCTCGGCATGAGTATTGGCAAAGACAGTAGCCACCAAGTCGACTTTGCTGGGCAGAGAGGAGACCCGCTTTTACACTTAATTACGTGTGGGATGGAGCACAAATGAGGTGGCCTCATCCTTGGGCCCTCTTCTATTGGTCCTTTAAACACTGGTTCACCCCCAGTGCATTTGGGTTACTCTGGATAAACAGAGGCCATGGGGAAGGAAAAGTGGGAAAATAGGAAGAAAGGAAATAACACTGGGTGTGGGGAAATGGTGGGGACCCGGGGGGAGAGAAGTGAAGGCCCCTCCCCCTGTACAGAATAGACATACTCGTGGACCGAATCTAGCATCTGCTTGTCTATCCACACTTGTGGCTGTGGCCATCTTTCCGCGCCTGCCTGCTGACCTTCCATCTTCGTGCTGGGAGGGGAATGGGCAGGGTCCCATTCCCTGTCGCTGCCTTCCTGTCCTTGCTGAACTTGTATTCACCAGACCAGGACTTATACCTATTGACCACCCTTCCTCTCCAGCCCACACGACTCTTGCAAAAGTCAGTGGGCACCTCCTGGCCAGACCCTGCTGCATCCCTTCTAGAAACCGACTGGACAGTCCCCCGATCCTCTGGTCACCTTGTGTCTGTGCTCCTGAGCCTTCACAGCTTTTTCCTCCCTTCACCTCTTCTTTGGAGGGTCCTGTTTTCACTCCCCCCTTTGTGTTCTAAGTGCTGCTTCCACGGATTGATCTTTAGGTCAGCTCAGGGAGAGAGGAGGAGACATTCTTTTCATTTTACAGATGAGGAAAGCACAGAAACATGGGGTAACTTCCCAGTATCCCACAGCACTACAGGCAGAGCTGGGGTATGTACCCAGGCTCTCTGAGCCCAGAGCTGGCCTCCATAGACTGTAATTTACTTACCTGAGACTGTCCTGTCCTTTATAAACGGACCGAGGTGGCGTCTGTGCACATGTTCACACATCCATTCAGTGTCTGATCACGTAGTACACTTTCCTCAGAATAGTCGAATTGGGTCACAGGATGGCTTGTTTATTTCAATTAACTTTTTTGATATTGCCAGGTTGTCCTTCAAAAAGTTGTTTACAGTATGTGAATATTCCTGGTTTCCCACAAGCCTTGCCAGTATACTGCATTTTATTCTTGGTGCATTTATTTTTCATTATTTAGGTACTCGTGAGTGTGAATATCTTTTGTGTTGGCCACTTGATGTTACTTGTGACTGTTGCTTTGCACACCTTTGTCCATTCTCCCTGTTGTGCTGCTCCTCTTCAGGTTTCAGGGTGCTCCGTGACTGAAGGGTGGGCTTGCCCGGGTGGTTTGTGCTTCCTTTCCTCCCCCAGATGTGGTCTTGCCACTTTCACTGCAGGACAAAGAAAACCCTGTCCTGCCTGCGTCCAAGAGAGAAAGAGGAGGGCGGGGCTGTCAGTGCCCAGATTCTCCCTCCAGACCCCCACCTCACCCAGAGCTCGACCTNTGCGTCCAAGAGAGAAAGAGGAGGGCGGGGCTGTCAGTGCCCAGATTCTCCCTCCAGACCCCCACCTCACCCCACTGGGAGGAGACATAACAGCCCCCCACACACCCACCACCCCTGCGGACCAAGAGGTGACAGGAAGGTCCCTCACCTGTCGTCGGTGCTTTAACTTGGTGCTGGTGTTTCTTGCAGTAAAGTGTTTCTTGTCACATAGCCACACTGCTGGCGTCTGCCTGTGGCCCTGCTTAGGGCGGGGCTGGTTTCCAGTAGTTCTTTGTGGCTTATCAGGTCTGTGACTAGGCAATTGCGGGTTCAGGTGGTGCTTACCTGAGTTTTTGTTTTTAGTCTTTTGTATTAGAGTTCCACTTCGAACCCAACGACTACTTTACCAATTCAGTCCTGACAAAAACGTACAAGATGAAGTCGGAGCCAGATAAGGCCGACCCCTTTTCCTTTGAAGGCCCTGAAATAGTGGACTGTGACGGGTAAGGAATTTGCCTCGGCTTCTCTTTCTGAGCAGGACCAGGAGGTGGCTTCAGAACCTTAGGTATAGGTAGAAAGTGGGACAAAGCAGGAAGTCGTCCTTACTCTGTTTTAAAGGCTAGCAGGCAGGTTAAATTAAGTAGTTTTTCTGTTCGGGGAATGTGTCGTGGTTACTTGGGGAGGGTTTCGGTCAGTGGCCCAGCTTCCTCAGTTTAATGAGATGAGTTCCCTAGTCACCCTCAGCACAGTGAGCTGTGGTTTCTCTCTCTCTCTCTCTCTCTCTCTTTCTCTCACACACACACACACAGTTTGTCGAGTGAGTCAGTGCAGAATAGTACTGGTCAGTTGCTTGCTTTGCAGTATGTGGGGCAGTTTTACTGTCCTTTGACTCTGGGTTGAGCACCTTGGCGTAGGTCACCAAGGAGTGAATGTAGTTTGAGTTCATTCTTCTTGGAGATGATTCAGGAAATTGTTTTATCTTGAATGAAACAGTTACTTTTATTTTCTGGAACCAAGTAATTTGTTCTTGTGACTCTTCCCATATGAGTAATTCAGAACTGTATTAAAATCCTCCTAGATTCACATGCCCAGAGTAATTTCGAAAGGGCCATTTTCCGGGACTGGCCATTGTGAGGGGAGAAGCCTGGCTTTCCAGGTGTTCGCTAGACCCGATACTATTTATCGGGTCAGGTGTTACCTGTTGGTGCAGGGTGACTCAAAGAGTTAAGAAGCATGCTATGCTCATCCACCAAGGACCGCTCAGCACCCCTGGATCTGATGTATTTTGCACTGGCCATCAGCATTGACAGTGGTCACCTGCTCCCTTTCTCCAGCTTGTCCCATTCACTCATTTGCCTTGAGAATTCGGGTGTGAGTGGTGACGTCAGGTGCACTCTGGAGTCTGTCCAGAGGCAGCAGGTGACATGCTCCCTTGAGGCGCCTCTGCCCAGCCTTGGTCTGGGTTCTTCACACAAAACACATTTCAGGATCTGTGCAGAGGTCTGGAGAAATCACGCCCTTGCGGCTGCAGCAGCTCCAGCTTGAGGCAGTGCTTTCTCAGGGTGAGGGGGCTGGCAGGCGCTTGCTTCGTAGTTGTCTGCGGTGACCCTCATGGGTCATAGTGCTTGCTTGCAGGGGGTTATTAAACTGCCCAGGTTAATTGTGGAGCTGGTTTGCTTGCTGTGTGCACTTATAATTGGTTTTTCTCACAAGGTGTGTATCCTTGATGGCTTTCCTGTCCCTGTAGGTGCACGATTGACTGGAAGAAAGGAAAAAACGTTACAGTCAAAACGATCAAGAAAAAACAGAAGCACAAGGGCCGGGGCACCGTCAGAACCATCACCAAGCAAGTCCCCAACGACTCCTTCTTCAACTTCTTCAGCCCGCTGAAGGGTGAGGGGGCGCTACTAAAGACCTACAGGAGAGCACCTGGGGTTTAAGGAGGGCTTTGGTTCTTACGAAGAAAGGCGAAAAGTGACTGCACTCACCATCTGTCTTGTGTGAGCTGTTACGGGGACAGCAGCACCCGAGCAGTGATGGTGTTCCTGCCGAGCTCCTTCAGGGGCCCACACTCAGCACCCAGCCCACAGCTCTGTCAGCGCCTGGGCTTTGTCTCAGTTGATTTTGTGCGTTTGTTAACAGGACGGGTGCTAAGGTATGAGAAAAGCATAAGAGAGCCTGTAAGGGTGTTAGGCTCAGCATAAGGCTGAGCGTAATCTCGATCGTTACGAACAAAACAAACGTCGTACATAGCTAGAACTGGCCTTTGTCCACTGTCACACCAGTTATAGGCAGAGGGCGCCTTCAGAGCTGCGAGGTTACTGCTGGGGCTGCAGCAGCAGAGCGCTGTCTGGTGGGTAAAGTGGGAGGTGTCACTTGAGTGGATTGGTAGGTGGCAGAGAGGTGTGTGTCACACCGTTCCTGCTGTTTTCCTGTATGTTGGTGGTATCCTAGGTTTGTGTGTTACTCGCTATGATTTGGTTGGTTATTTTTTGGTTCTGGAAACACTGAAACATTTTTCCCTCTAAATCAGGTGGGAAACCTTTTTTCTGCCAAGGGCCACTTGGATATTTATAACATCATTTGCGGGCCGTACAAAATTATCAACTTAAAAATTAGCTATGAAAAAAGATTTAGTGAATTTCGAGTCCCGCCTGTAGTTGACTTGGCAGGGCCAGACCAAAAGATTTCAGGCCACACGTTGCCCACCTCTGGTCTAAATGAATGGTAGTTGCTTCTTTTGTTTTATGCCTTTTGGCTTAAAGATTTCATAGGAACCTTCTGTTTTTGGAGGGGGGGGGCAGATACCTGTGCTTATATAAAAGAACTGAAACTCATGAACCTCTGAGGCACTTGTGCTCACGGGCGCAAGAGGACAGGAGTGGGGTCCTCATAGGAAGGGAAGCCGGGGAGGCACCCCAAGCTCCATTCTGAGAAAGCTCAGAGTGCCTGCATGGGCCCTTTCACTCCTTCCTCTGTCTCTGTGCCTCTGGCCGTTCCCTGTGCTGCAGGCTCAGCGCTGCGGGCATCTGTCACTGATCACACTCTGGTGACACTTGCACAGCTGGAATCCCCACCCCTCTTTTTCATACATGACTTGATGGAGCACAAGGGGCTTGGGAATTGTGACACTCAAGTACTTGGATTTCCATTTCCAGAGACTTCAGGCAGAAGCCTAGCTTGGAAGCTTCAGTTTTGTGTGTTTCCCCAAGTCATAAAATAAAGGTGGAACCCCTGAGCTAGGAAAGGTCAGCTACTGGTTTTGTGAGGAAATTACTTAGACGTCGCAATATAAATTTCTGATCCCAAGGGAACATGAAGGCAAGGCAGTTGACCATGTTAAAATATGGATACGAGAAAAACACTGGCTCTTTACTTTCCATGTTTAAAACCAGTTTGGGATAAAGAACTGCCTGCCCTGCCACAGAATCAGAACTCATTTGGGCTGTCAGTCCCAGGGCCACAGGGTGGCTCCACTCAAGTCTGAGCCTTTGACTCTCGACCTTGTCTCCCCTTTGCCTAGTGCCCTCCCTCCCCCAAGCTCCTACTCACCATTCAGTCCAGTCTTTTGTCATAGTGGGTATATTCTGTGACTTGTCTTTGAACCAAGAAGATGTGAGTATGTATTGGTTTGGGGGATAAGATCAGCCATAAATTTGGTCCTTTAGTTTCCTTTTTCGGGAAGATCCCTCTTGGAGCCTCCTGTGGCATTTTGGACAATACCTGTGTGGATTCATGACACAGGTGCTTCGATTTGTTGGAAGTTTCCTTAAAACTGGATCTTGAATACTTTTTTTTTTTAAGCATGTCTTTATTGATTTCAGAGAAAGGAAGGGAGAGGGGGAGAGAGAGAAACTTCAGTAATGAGAGTCATTGATCAGCTGCCTCCTGCGCGCCCTCCGGCATGTGCCCTGACTGGGAATCAAACCTCGATCTGCTGGATCCTAGGTTGATGCTCAACCGCTGAGCCACACCCGGCTGGGCTGGGTCTTAAATACTTCATAAAATCAAAACATAATGAAGTGGACTCGAGAATTGGGGGGTTGATATTTTTGTGGGGTGGGGCCTAAAACTGTATTGTGGCTGCACAACACTAAAAATGTACCAGACAGCATTGGATTGTACACCTAATGGGGTGAACTTTATGGTATGTAAATTATATGTCAGTGTTGCTGTTTTTTAATTTTTTAGTTAATCCTCCCCTGAGAGTATTTTTTCCATTGATTTTTAGAGAGAGTGGAAGGGAGGGAAGGAGCAGGGAGAAACAGTGTGAGAGAGAGACATTGATTGGTTGTCTCTGGCATGAGCCCTTGACCAGGAATCAAACCGAATACTCTTTGGTGGGCCGACGCTCTTAACCACTGAGTCACACCGGCCAGCACATCAATATTGCTATGTTTAAAGTAATCAAATGAACACAGCTTCCCGTGGTAAGCTCTATGAGAACAAGCAAGGTGACAGTGGGACGCAGTGATGGGGTAGCCAAGAAAAACATCTGAACTGACTAAATGCTTTTTGAAATGAAGGAAACATAAAATGGCCAGTCCAGGCCTCTTTGTCCTAAACCCTGAAAACAGGTCCAGGAATCAAGTGAGGAAGGTCCTTGTGCTGCTCCCTGACCCACAGGCCAGGGCCCCCAAACCTGAATCCTGAACAGCCCTGGGATGCTCACATGCCAAGGCCTGGGGACTGCTGCTTCATGGGTGGTGTGTCCACCCCCAGCACTTGGGCCTCCACAGGGGCAGCATTGCCGCCTCGTTGTGACAGCTCTGGGGAAAGTCAGACGCACCTGATGAGGAGGGACTAGCAGTGATGACCAGGATTTCTAAAGCTCGGGCTTTGGGTCCCTTGAGCATTTGAATGTCACTGAGCATGGATTTAAGTCCCGGTTTTTCCCATCATGCTCAGTTCACCAGTCTGTGGGTCACGTGTGGAACCAGCTCTCAGTGTCATGCTTAATTAGTACGGGGCCGAGACTCTCTGTGGTGGGGCATTGATGAGTGACACCCAGCCCACGGGTCAGCTTCCCGTCTTGCAGGAAGGTTTCAGCACTCCATTCTCTCCTTCCTCCTTTCCATACAGGGTCCTGAAGCTCAAAGATTATCCCCCTTGTCTACTGCATCGTCACATGAGTTAAAGCTCCACTACCACACAGGTGCACTCAGTGGCCACAGTCTGGACCGCTTTGACGTGTCTTCCACCTGTTACTGTTTAAGCTGGTGTCAGTGCTCCTCTGAGGGCTGGCATCCTCTAGTTGAGTCTGGGAGCATCTCATACCGCCCAGGGCACAGGAGGGAGGCAGGGGTGAGCAAGGGCATGGGTGCTGTGAACGCCCACCCGGAGACGCATAGCTTAGGTGGTTTCCAGGGGAAAGCTCGAGCTGTGAGATGCTCCATTTATCTGTCAGCTGAGTCTCCTGTGTGGGCTTTGAGCAATTTTGCTTCTCAGTGTAATGTGTATATGTTTTGTTTTTTCTAGCATCTGGAGGAGAATCACTGGTAAGATTTGTGTCCTTATTAAAGCCTCTTTGCTGTTAAAGTCTGTGTTTTCTAAGTAGTTAATCTTCCTTTTTAATCTGTCCCTCCCTAAAACCCTGGGGTGAGTTTGTGATCACTGCCCTCTGGGTGGGATAGGCACATGTTCCTGTATGGGCTACACTTTCCTGCCCTCCCCACCTTCCACTGCTTTTCCTTTAAGGCTCCTCAGCCTCGTGGCTGTCAGCTGGCAGTGCGGGCCCTGGCGACTCTCATCAAGCTGCCAGAAGTGAGGGGCAGGGTGAGGGTGAGAGGAGGCGATGTCAGTCCCACTGAATTGAGGTAACACGTCTGCTTCCCCTCAGGATGAAGATTCCGAGTTCACGTTGGCCTCTGACTTTGAGATCGGACACTTCTTCCGTGAGCGGATAGTGCCACGGGCCGTGCTGTACTTCACTGGGGAGGCTGTGGAAGACGATGACAACGTAGGTGCCTCGGAAGCTCCCGCCCATCGTGTGGCGCAGCTCCCCCTGGGGGTTGGAGGGAGGAGAGGGCACAGCAGCAGGGAGCAGGTGTCTGAGTTGGTCCCTATGTGGGCCACATCTCTGCTGGCTCATTTCAGGATGTCCTAAAGACCCCAGGAGTTTCCTGTGTCCTGCTCAAGACCTGTAAGCTTTGGGTGACCGCTACCAGGAAAGACACTCATTGACAGAGGTGTGGCCGCACCATGCAGTCGTTAGCAGCAGAGCCCGCTAGTGCTGGCCTGTGGCGTAGTGACCCCAAAGTGGTGCAGGTGGTTCAGGCCCACACTCTGCAGAGGACTGCTGCAGGGAGATGAGCCCTCCCCAGCCAGAGCTGGGAGAAGGCCCCGAGCACAGCCTACCAGCAGTCCTGTGACTGTCATCGAAGGCAGTTTCCTTTGTAACGAGGTTTGGGTGCTGCGGGTCCTGATTCGTGGAAATGTTTTGTTTTGTAGAGTTTTGCCGGAGGGGCATTTTAGATGATGTTTATTCCTTTGCTTTCAGAGCTTTGACGTCTCCTGGGTGTTTCTAGCTTTCTTTGCTGGGAGGCATGCTGGGCAGCAAGAGCTAGGTGGGGTTGGGCTGCTTCCCTCATACCAGATACAGTGCAGGCCTGCTCCCCACTCTCCCTGTGTTTCAGGCCCTGTCCGGCTGTGTGGTTCCAGCTGGAGGGCGTTGTGGGGCCCAGGCACGTGTACACACAGCTCGGCCTGGTGCTGGGCCACTTCAGCCCTCAAGCATTTGCTAAGACTCAAGTTTTAGGAAATGCTGGTTACATGAAGTGGATGTAGGTGGTCTGATTATGGCTCCCACACTGCCTGGGTCATCTTGTTCATCCCATGGACTGTGCGCCCCCACATTGTAACCAGTGCTCTGCGCAAGTGTGAGATGCATTTGAGAGGGGTCTCTGCAGAGCTCTGTAAAGGAGGTCCAGGCGAAAGGGTGTGCTTGGAACCTGAGGAAATCCACACCTCAGCCTGTTTGAGCTGGTTCCAATCTGACCTAAACAGCTGTGAGGGTCTTGTGGCTACAACACACCAAAGGTCTTCCCTGTCTGGGGCTGGTTAGGGTACTTGGAAGGAAAGGGCACTGAGATCCATCCCATCATGGGTGCTGCTCAGTGCTGGAGGGTGTGCGGCTGGACCTGGGGTTGAGATGAGCCACACCTACGCTGCGCATTCCACAAAGTTCCGTTGGGGAATGGAATGTGTGTGGGCTCCAGAAAGAGAAGCACTGCAAGAAAGAGCCCACTAGACCTCTTCGCACCGTGTGTGCTGTGCCAGTAGTGATTACGTTTCTATCTCGTTGCTAAGATTTTGATCCCAGTCTGGTGTTTGGAACTTGAATGACAGCCAACAGTGGTGTCTCAAGACCAGCCAGTTACAGTGCTGGGGTTTCGCCCATGTGCACTTTAAAGATTAAACACCAAAGTTTCATTATATTTCTAATAAAGATTCCCCCTTGCATGCAATATAAAGTGGTATATAAATTCCTGTGTGTAATAAAATTATGCTACTGGTTTTCTGAGATCAGCCGGTTTCCTGGTTGGACCCAGCACACACCCGAGCTGACCATCTCCTTTCTTCATCTCCCCCCTCCTCAGTCCTTGTGTTGACTGGTTCCCAGGTACCTGGCATCCTGCTAGCGGGGCAGGGCCTGTGAGCAAGCCTTCCTGCAGCGCTGGCCCTGGCCGGCCCGTGCTGTTGGTGTCGACATGCCCAGCAGCAGATGCCCTGAGAACTTGGCCTCCACCCATGCTGCCCTCCGCTCGGCCTGAGCGACCTTCCTGCCTTCCTTAGCCGGAGCATGGGTCCTGGGAAGGGTCTTGTCTGGGTCGGGCTCCCGCCATGCTTTTGAACCCTGAATGTGTTTCCTTCTTTTTCAGTTTGAAGAAGGCGAGGAGGGGGAAGAAGAGGTAAGCCCAGCTTGCGCGCAGCGGTGTCGCCCGGTGGTGCGGCTCCTCCACGGGAGTGGGCGGAGTGGGAGACCCGGGGCCTTGCTGAACCCTTCTGTGGGACTTGAAACTGCGCAAAGGCGGCAGGTGCTGTCACAGTGTCCCGTGACCGGCACCTGGCTGATGCAGAGGCGCCCTGGGCACAGTTCAGTCCACAGTCTGCTCCTCAGCCCTGTGTCGGTTTCAGGGTCATCTAAGAACAAAAGACACCCAGAAAAATTATAAGTGTCCAAAGGACGCGGCCTTGTCAGTCGTGGGTGGTCCTGATTGATGTCCTCCTGATTGAGGTTGCTTTAGTTTGTGGCCAGTGGGTCCCCAGGAGCTGAAGTCCTGCCCACTCTTTCGATACAGGAATTGGAAGGGGACGAGGAGGGAGAAGAGGAGGAGGGTGCCAGCGTGAACCCCAAGGTGAGTCCTGGAGCCGCCAGGCCTGCCTGTGCCAGGCTGTCGAACACATGCTCCCCACTCTGAGGAGCACGGGTATGTCCCCTTGAATTAGAAAACGCAAAGTGTATCAGAAAAGCACCTGAGAGAGGAACTGCTCAGACACCTGGTACGACTGAGTGTCCAGGGCCTGTGTTCCCAGCTCTTCCCGGGCTGTCTGTCTCCAGACTCGCTCAGGCGATGATTTAACTGACTGCACGAATACACCTTTCTGTGTGTGTGTTTTGGGGAAGGATACAAAGAAGGGACTTTGAGGGGAGGGAATTGTTGTTATCATTTTTTAAATGACTAGAATAATGGAATTGTAAGTATAATTTACACTGGTACTTGGGGTGAGAATGCTTGGGAATTATGTTTAGGTATCTCATGATTTGAAATAAAATGGGAAGCTTTTTAAAAACACACAAAAAACTGGCAAAAATGAGTGGGCAGCCCCATTAATTTTACCTGTCAGTCTGAGTTTACTCCTGCTCCTAGGTTAGTGTACATCCAGGTGCGTTCCACTTGGCACGTGTTTAACTGTAGTGTTGCTTCCAGGGGGTCTCGCTCTGGTCTCCTGGCAGGAGGTTCATAACTCATCCGCCTCAGAGTTAATCATCTCCCATTACCTGGCCTTTCATTACACCATCTCTAGTTACCTAGACTGTGTGCGTTTCCCCTGTCTCTCCCAAAGTGAATTGTTCCCTGAGCTGTCCTTGTAATGACCTGGTCTCGTGACCCGTTTGCTAACACCATGTGTTTCTGTAACCGCATGCTCATGGGGAGTTCCTGTTGGGGACACGGGAGGTGGGTCAGCACCTTTTAAATGTGCTCACGGAAACATGCATCTCTTTAAGGTGGCCTGTTGGTCATGGGATAGCTGTATTGAAAACACACCTTTGCTCACCTCTGTGTGATGGCTGGTGAGGGTCCCAGCCCTGAGTGGATCGCACTTGGACGGGAGTTTGGGGTGTCTGTTAGTTAACAGAACCGGGTGATGGTGACACCTTACTCTACCGTGCCGCCCCGGCTGTGTCTTTGACTTGGGACCCGCTGCACAGCCACTGCTTGGCTTCCAGAGCAGAGACTGCTCTGGGCCGTGCCTCACTGGCAGCGGGTGCTCCCCTCCTGTTGTTTCCTTCTGATGTCTGTCCTCCTGTTTCCTCTGTTTTCTGCGAGGACACTCACCAAGTGGTCACAGATAACCTGGCAGAAAGTAGGGGGCTGTTGATGCCCTTCACGGGGGCTCCGAGTTGTTCTATGGGAGGGGGTGAGAAATGACTAAAGTAGCAGGTTGTGCTGTGGAGTGCTGGGCCTGCCGGCCACATGCAGTCTAAGGCACCAGTCTTGGCCTCTGTGCCCACTGTCCCTTGATGCTCACCTCTGTAGAGGGACTGCTCAGACAGTCTGTGCAGCAAAGGAGAACAGCAGAGGGGGGGCGGAAGGTTCAGAGCTGGTGCGTTGAAGGCTGCTGCTCAGCCCGTATCTTGCAGCCCTTGTTACATGAGAGAGGTTGGGCTGCTTCCTCCTGTATGATTGTGTGCCTGCCTTTTCTTTCATGCTGACAGTGCCTTTCAATTTTTTTCCCCATTTAGGTGTAATTTTTGTCTGTTAATCATTCATGCGTTTCTAGGTAAGGTGGAATTCCATTCATTCCTAATTTCCAGACTGTTGATCTGTGCTGTGTGGCAATGCCTTGTGGCTGGCACAGAGGGACCTGCTGTGCCGGCTCACGGGTCAGGCTGACACGGGCTTTCTGGCGAGCAGTCTCCTGCTTTTGGAACCGACTGACAAAACCACACGTGGCTCCTGCTTGCTGAGCCCAGTGTTTCTTATTGACCGTGTATGCGGGGTGTAGCTGGTGTGGCGTTTTCCTTGACGAGGGGACTGCCCTCCAGGAAGAGGGCAGAAGGGGAGACCCTGGGAGGTGGGCAGTCTTCCTGGAGGCCACAGTCATGGGCTGCCTGCCCCGCTGTCCCCTGTGCCCTTGCCACCCTGCTCACTGGGACAGTAGGAGTCTTCTCACTGAGTTTTCTGTACATGCATCTGTTGATTGTGTAAACTTGTGCAATTTAGGTGTTGTGCAGACCGGTAGGTAATACAGGGTGATGGAACTTGGTGCCAGGATATTTTACCTGAGAAGCTGCTGCCCATGTGGTAAGGGCATTAGCTGTGTGGTCAAGTTGCTTCCATTCTGACTCAGTAAGGACAGAACTAGCTGTGGGTCTCAGCAGGACCAGCAAGTCCGGAGCCACCCGTCCGTACATGGGTCATTGTAGCCGTGCTCCAGTCATGGGGCTCCCCTGTGGGACACTCACTGCTGCGGGGCATGGGGCCTGGTTGGGGAGGGAGACACGAATGCCGTCAGGTGGACACCTGGGACTCGGGTTCTGCTTGTTGGCCAGAGGCAGCTGCGTCGTAGACATCATGCCCCTGAGAGCTGGGCCTCTGTGCTCCCGGTCAGGAGGCACCGCATCCTGTATGTGTTCAAATCGGTGCCTTTGAGGGTCTGTCTGCACTGGCCCATCTCCTTCAGGCAGGGCAGACCTGGGCGAAGTGAGGTGATCTCTGCTTTGAGGGTCGGGCTGACTACTTACCTGCATGTTTAAATTGCTGCCACCCACCCGTCTGAAGGACTTGTCTGCCGGGCTGTACCTGAGGCCCACTCTCCACCTGCCAGTTACTCTGGTGTGTACCTGAACCACGCAGCCTGGCTCTCTAGGAGAGGAGGCCGCCTCTGGAACCACAGCACCACCACACCCAGCAGCGGGAGTGCTCAGTGCCGTCAGCCTCCAGTGGGCAGGCCGCTCTGGGGCTGCGGTGTGCTCAGGCTGCTCTGCGCCCTCCTCAGAGCAGTTATCTGTTAAAGCCCTTTTGGTCCCATGCGGGCAGGGTTTTGGCTGTTAGTTTGTGCCTTTGAAACTCCTTTCCCTTGATCACCAGCATTGAGCGACCAGGCTGCCATTAAACTGACATAAAACAGGACATTCAGCTTGCAGTTCTGTTTGTCCCATGTCACAGGCCAGAAACCACAGTCCCAACAGCCCCTCCTGTCTTGGTTCATATCACACACTGTATTATGTGACACATGTGTGTCATTTATATAGAGATGTGGAGTAGAAAGTCCTCCCATCCGTCCTGTGTGCCCCCATCCCCCATGTCACCCTACAGAACCCTTCCTGAATCACACCTTTTCCGACCCACTTCCCATTTGCAAGTACAAATTATGCAGGAACACGCAGCACAGTGCTCCTTCCTGCCTACGCAGCTCTGGGCCGGAGCAGCTGCCTCTGGTTCCCTAGGACAGAGATCTACCCCTGAAGCAACAGTGCTTGACTTGGAATTGTTCTGCTAGGGTTTCTGGTCAGGTATGTTTTGTTTTGGTGTTTCATATGAGCCTGTGACAGGCAGGTGCCAGAGCAGGGCCCCCATCCCAGAGTGGCCTGCTGTTGGCACTGGGCAGTGCTGGGCTGGGACCCAGGGCCAGTCCTGCAGGTCTTGGCTTGTCCTGTGCTCTCTCCATTACATGTGCAGATCAAGAGCTTCAACCAGGGTCCAAGGCTGTTGCTCTGCGCTCATCACATGTATTTATTTCATCCCTTAAACGTGATTTCGCGAAGGATGAGCTGTCGCCCCAGCTGACACCATTGAGGGTGTGTCGGGCTGTTTCCTTAGACTGCACAGTGTGCCAGGTGACGCTCGGCGTGCTCTGTGATCTTAGCTCAGGCGGACAGGGGCAGGTGTCATGTTGTCCCCACACGGCAGCATCGGTTGCCAAGTGTGGTTTCGGTGGTTGGGATACACACGACAGGTCACACTGAAGTGGTTTGGGGGTGGGAGGGCTCCCCCAGTAACTTTTCTGGAAGGCTAGGGTTCCCACGTGGGGACTCCTGGGAGGGCCGTGGCTTTGTGGGCACTGCCTGTCGGCGAGGAGAGAGGCCCAGGGGAAGAGACAGCCCTCCCAAGAGCATGGGGTCTGGAACCGGAGCCCTTGGAGGTTCAAGTTGGTCCTGTCCCAGGGGTGGCAGGGAATGCACAGGGCATGTGCTGACTCACGGGGCAGCGCCATGGTCGCCCAGAACATGGTCTGTCACTCGTTAACCCTGTGGCCCAAGGAGCCACTCTGTCCAAGACCGTCCTGCTGCGTCTCCTGGAATTAGAGGGTCTCTCAAGCGTCTTTAAACAAAAAAGGCAGCTCTGCTGTGACACTTCTGGGGAGTTAGCTTTTTTGTTACTGTTTTGAAAGTGCATTTGTAGTAACCATTTTTTCGGTTACAATGCATTGAACAGTGGAGTCTGGGTTTTCTGGGTTGGTGGGAGGTGCCTGTGGGGTGTGGACGGGTTCTCTACAAGTCTTGTCTCTCTTGTTGACAGAAGGAGCCCAGCCAGCACTCCGAGTGCAAGCAGCAGTGAGCAGCGAGGACCTGTCGGCGCAGCGCCCACACCTACTTTTTCAAGTGCATGGTTTTCACCTTCACTTTGCCTTTCCCTGTTACTTTGCTTAATCTGTACAGTGGCCCCTTAAATGCATTTCAGAAGTAGGAGGTTTAATCCCAGCACCCTCGACGGCCTTGGGTGCAGTGCAGTAGACTTCCCCAGGCCCTGCTTCTGGGGCCCGTAGACCATGTAGGGTGGGGGTGGAAGGTCCCCAAGCCCAGGACTGACATCCGGGAGCTTCTGCTCCCATCTCTCATTTGAAGACACCACACGCTTCGTTTCCAGCCACCTGGTCCCCTGTCTGAGCTCGGAGGAGGGGCAGAGAGCAGGGTCCCTTCTCCTCGGTGTGTTCTTGCTTTGGTTTTATTTTCCATGGGTGGGGGTGGGGTGGGGGTACCCACGGCGCTGAGGCGCAAGCTCATGTGGTGACCCTTGTATTTATTTGTTCCTTTGTGCTTTGGGCACAGGGATGCTTGCTGTCGCTTGTCCTCGAGTGCTGAAACCATGTTTGTGACTGGAGACCCGGGGACTTGACTGGGAGGTGGGGGCGGCTCCTGGGGAGCAAGGCTGTGTGAGAGAAAGCACTCCCTCCTGCCGCCAGCTGCCGGGGCAGGGCTTGTCTCCGTGGCGTGGGGACCCCTCAGCTGGGCAGGTTTGTGGGCAGTGCCGTGCCCTCTCTGGGAAGGGCTGGAGGGCACAGCTGTCCTCATGTTAGTGTCACATCTTGTTAGCTCCCATTTCTTAGCCCACATCCACCTTGTCTTAAAAGCCCTGGTTCAGAGCAACCTGTTCGTGGCTGGCATGGGGGGTTCCGAGTATGTGGCCGCTCGCAGTCCCTGGCAGCCGGGGATGCCGGTTCCACACTGACCAGGCCTGGAGAGTGCTCAGCCTTACTTAAGATACATTTGTAACTGAATACGCTGTTTTCAATTTGTACAGAATAGTTAGAATATTCTATTAAAGTTGTGAAACATGAACCGGTGCCATGTGCAGTCTCTGGTGGGGATCCTGGTCCAGGTAGGGGGCCCCGCTATGTGGTCACACTCCAGATTCGGGACTTCCCAGCTTCTGGTTTTCCGTTTTGTATCTCAGGCTGCATTTAGTTGCCTGTTGCGTCTCCAGGTCCACGTCACTGTTGGGCAAGTTTGGGGTCCCCGGGGGAGCCCTCTGCTAGCTACCTCAGGAAAGCATTTGCTGCTACCCCAGGGTTTGTGGGGTTGTCCTCTAGATCCACCCAGGAAGGCTCCAGGGGGGAAGCTCTTGCCTAAAGGCCATGATCAAGCCAGCCCTGAGGGTGCTGCTGGGGGCCTGTTCCAGCCCACCCTCCAGGCAGGGTGCCTGCGCACGGCCCCTGGACCCTGGTCCTTGGTGCTGCCATGGACCCTGGGCATCTAGAAACAAACTTGCTTATGAAAACGTGGCTTACAAGTGAGTGAAGGACCAGAAGTGGCTGCACAGAATGATGTCCTGGGTTGTTTGCAGGAGGTGAGTGCTGAGGACATCAGGTCCCAGGGCCCTTGGGCTCTTGGGGCACAGTGAGGGACAGCCCATCTCCCGCTGGCCATATCGCCACCCAGGATGTGGGCCTCACCGAGGAAACGAAAATCAGCAACGACAAGGACTTTGGCAACTCATTGTGACGAGGGCCTGAGAAAGCACGTGGAGGCCGTGAACTGTTAGAGCCTCTGCCCCAGCAGTGTAGGCCTTCAAGGAAGCAGGCGCGCGGCCCTGTGACAGGAGTCGCCCTCGTGCGTGCTCTGTGGACGGCGGGGTGGTGTCTTGAAGTGGCCAGGATGAGGTTGCGTCAGCTCCCACCCACGGTGGACTTGAGCCAAGAACGGGTGTCCGGGTGCCCTTGGGAAGGTCATCTGGGGTGTGAGGGAGCAGAGCAGGTAAGGGGCAGGGCCTGTGCGTGTGCACATGGTGCTTACGTTGGGAAGCCTCGGGCTAAACAGGAAGCTGGAGAGCGGCTGGCTGCCTGGGGCTGGTGGGCAGGAGAAGCAGAGGCTGGCTCCTCTGTGTCCTCGTGCTGAGCCATGCGACGCGGTAACGGGCCGTGTTCAGAGGCATGAGTTCTCCCTGTGGGGTGGGGTGCAAGGACACAGGCTGCTGCTGGGCTGTCCAAGCGCACGGGGACTCCAGCTTGAAGCCCCGAGAGGCTGTGCTCTCCCTGGCCCTCCACTGGCTCAGCCTCCGCCTGCACCAGGGCCTCATGAGGTTTTCCTCTGACCTCCCCATGGCTCCCCCTCCTGGGCAGTCACAGGAAAGGGAAGGTGGTCCTTCAGTGCCCAGGGTCCTGGGACCTGTCCAAGCACAGGTCACTGCTGGCTCACAGGACCTCAGGGGCACCTCAGGGGCTCCGGAGGCTGGTTTGGTCCTTGCCGCTTGTGCTGGGAAGTCACGGAGCACCCAGAGGTCTGCCTAAGCCCCCAGCAAGGAGGCAGCAGGGAGGTGGCACTTAAAGCAGCTCCAGGTATCCACTGGCCGGGCCCAGCTGGGCCAGCTCTGCCTGGGTGATGCAGCCACCGCAGGACCCCATACTGCCCGTCTGGCTGCTGCTTTGCCTCTATCCCCACCGGCCCCTCGACTGCCATTAAGCACGCCAGGGGTCGAGGGCCAGGCCTTACCAGCCCCTACTTGGCCCAGATGGTACAGTGCTCCTTTCTGAGCACCCAGGAGGGTGTCCACATCCACTTCCCATCCCAGAGGTCTCTGCCTCCCCCGCCTCCCTCAGTCCTTAGGGTGACTCTGTCAGAGCCTGTGGGGCCTGTTGCGGTGCCTGTCCCTCAGGGCCTGGGTCTCATCTGTCACACAAGACTGGCTCTGGGCCCAGCCGCCCTTTCTGAGCTCTCCTAGCCACCGCGTGCCGACTTCTGGGAGGCGCTCAGCTCTTCCCCAGGCCTGGGGAAATGTGGGGCAGGACCTCCCCAGGCAGCTCGGGTGCTAGCAATGCTGTGAACCCCACAACGGAGTGCTCCCAGCAGCAGAACCCCCACAACACAGGGATCTCAAAAGCATGACCTGAGGGAGGGAGGGCAGGTGGTGGCTGGTTTCTGTGACCTCCAGAACCCCCACAGCACCAGCGGGGATGGGTACTGTTGGGGAGAAGGAAGGGCTGCACCGGAGAGAGTGGATTGTCAGCTGGAGCTGCCTCAGGCACGTGCACGTGGTCTATGGGCGTGACACCCCAGTGGAGCTGATTTTTCAAAAGCCCTCACATTGGGGTGATTACTCTTAAAACTGGTTTTCCTCTTGAGGGGTCAGGAGTTGTGGTCACCCACAGCCTGGTAGAGGGGCCTCTGTCCACACCTGTGGAGGGCAGACAGCTCAGCAGGTGGCCGGTTCGCCCTGGCGACCAGTGTGCTATGGTTGCTCATGGCCCTTGTCTCATGATACAGGGGCCAAGCTGAGGCCCAGCTCATCACCTGCAGCTGCCCAGCAATCCCTTCTCGGGGCCCAAGGGTTCCCCATGAGGCTAGCCCCCCTCCCCCCAAGTCCCTGTGGCTCCTGTTCCCAGAGGGAGTTTGCTTGGGGACAATCCTCCGGGCCAGGGAAGGGGGAGGGTGGGCCTTAGCTTCGGCCAGTCCAGTCTTGGTGGTGTTGCTGACCTCCGTCCTGCCCTGAGTGTGCGTCCTGTCTCCTTCACCTCTGAGCACCTAGTGGACAAGGGGACGCCGGTGCGCTGTGGGGAGGCCCGGGAGCCGGCAGTGGAGTGAACCCCCTACCTGTCTGCTTCCTGCTGCACAGAGCCCCTGGTTGAAGAGGCTGTGTGGGGTGAGTTGTGTCAGCACCGCCCCGGTAAGGGCTGCCCTCGGCTCCCTGCCAGCTGGCCCGCTCAGCCACCCGGCTCAGCGCCCCTGGACTTCGGTCTCTTCCGATCAGAATGACTTCCCAGCTTCCTCTGGAGGCCAACTGTCCTCCCCACCCCAGCCGCAGAGCATAGTTGTCGGGGGGCAGGGGGGATGCTGAGGAACCTCAGACCCAGGCATTTGGCCCACACCAGGAGACGCAGACAGAGGTCCCCAAAGCAGGGGCTCCATGACTTCACAGGCTGCTCCTGGCTGAGCTCTGGATCCTCTGACGGTGGTGGTGGT